AATGATGCTAAATTAGTCGGACCAAAAACATATACTAAAAATATACTGTATATACCAGCAATATATACAGAATAGTTGGAAGGATGCTACATTATTCGGACGAAACATATACTGAAAATATATGGTATATACCCGTAACATATACGGTATATATGTGTGCGACGAACATGGACGAAGGGTGTTGGTGCTCTTCTTGATTCCTCTTCATAGGTTGAACCCATTCGCCGCTCGACTTCTCCTTCTCGGCAGGCGACGACTCTCCTTGACAACAACATAGGGACCGACGAGGTGCTGCTCTTGATGGCGATGGATGAAAGGACGGCTTGCTGCTTGATTGCACGACCTGCTGCTCGTCGATGGCGCACGACGACTCTCCGAGCAGAGAAAAAGAACGTCCAGCGGTAGAATTTTTTAGGCGGGATTAAACGTGGATCTCAACCTGGGGTTTGCTCGATCGAACGATGATGGAACAAAACTGCTGTAGGGCAGAGAGGCGAGGGCGATATTTTCTTACCAATTACCTCGGGATTTTTGGTTTTGGAATGTGATAAGTACCTATAATTACGGTTAATATTAATCATATTTAAATTACTGATTTTTTTACCTTCTCGTAATTCTGCAAATAATTATAGATAGGTTTTATTTATGCAATAAAAAATGAGATTAGTTGTATAGAGTGCAATTTCCTCTATTTTAAATATTCTAATTTATGCGTGGGCAATTGAGAGGATAAGAGAACACAAGAGGCGTGGGCAATTAAGGACTTTTTGGTTTTTTATTGGATCAGCTAATCTCAAACGCTGCAAAATGCAACGTTTTCTATTTCAACTTATGAACCAAAAAATATTATGTGTAAAAGTTATTTGCCAAACAATGTTTTTTTTAGGTTATTTATAAAGTCAAACCAGCTAAAGATTAGAAAAAGCTCTTTTAGGATCAAAACACCAATAAACAAACGGGCCCTTGGCCCATTTCGAGTTATATGTTCGGTTCCTTTGAGCATATAAAAGCCTTGAAGGGTCAGCTTAAAGGGATTTTGACCCTCGTGGTTATCCGATTTATGGAAGGGTTTTCTTTTGTCCGATTTGTTTATTTTTTCAGAGTTTTTTTGTAATCGTTACTTAGGGGGTGATTGTTTATGGTTTGAATAGTTAAAAAAACTAGAATTTTTTAATTATAGTTAAGTTTAAGAAAAAGTTGTATGGTTAGTTGTTAGTGGATATATTAAAATAGTATTTAATATAAAATAGTTAAAGTTGATTTGATGTAAAGTAGGAGAAATATTATTGGAAGTGATAGTTAGTTAAAATTAGTTAGAATTATGTGAGTGGATGAATAGTGAATTAAAGTTGATGTGATATGTAATAATGATTTGTTGATGTTATTTAATTATATAATAATATTGGAGATAGTGGGGTTGAGTTAAAGTTGAGTTAAATTTGAATTTGAGTAAAAAAAATTACTGTAGGGATGATAAACAATCATGCCCTTAATCGATGTATAAGCTTCTTTCTTACTGAGAGAACTCCGTGGTCACGCGAGATCCCAGAGTCAATGGTGCGGCAGCCACCGCCGCCTCGACTGCCAAAGGCTGCCAGTATAGAAGAAGGGAGCGCTCAGGTTGAACCCTTCAAATTCCTGCTTCCACGAGATGACCAGGTTAGAAGGAAGAGGCCAGCTTCAGGCATAGACTCTCTATCCGATGAGTTGTTGATGGAAGTTCTTGCTCACATCCCAGGCCAAGATATTTATGGGGCAAGGCTTGTTTGCCGCAAATGGCTACAATATCATTCACACCCGTGATTTCTACTTACAGCACGCCACTTATGGGCTCCTATTCAAATGTACATTTCTGGGGTCATATTTAACTAATTATACTTTTTGTTCTACCTTTTCTAATGTATTCCAATATGTACTGTTAGGGAATTTTACTATTATAAGCCATGAAAAGATTCTATTCAGTTTCTTTTGTTCTCCTTTCTTGGACCAATTCCAATATTCCATTATTACATTCCATGTGTAACGCCCCTTTTATTTAGGAGAAGCATAGCATGTTCATATGCATGTTCATATTTAAATTTTCTTAGCTGTGTTTTATGACTAAGTGTTGAGTGTTTAAGTTGTTTGCCTAAGTGGTTATTTGTCTAAGTTGTCATAAGCTAAGAGCTCGGCCAATTCAACCCCTTTGTCGGCCATGTTCCAATAAAAACCAAGCCCAACTAAGCTAAGGAGCTAAGCATAAGTATCTAGCAAGCTCGGCCACCCTAATTTTCCGAAGTAGAACTCGGCCCCAAACACTTTCTAATCCAAGTAAAAGTCGAGTCAAGACCAGGTCCCAAACTACCCTAACAACCTTCATCATTTTCGGACTTCTCAACCCAGCACCTTAGCAAGCTCGGTCAGCAACCACCTGCTACTTTTCTCGGCAGCCACAGCTCTAATCACCATGAGACCAACCTCACAGAGC